TTCAGTTTGCAGTTTATCAGAACTGTAGAAGTGGCTGTGATCATGTAAGCCAGAATGCAAGTGTGGGGCATCTAAGTAAGTGTCCAGATAGCCAATGCCTCATGCACAAGGAGGAGGGCTGAGTGGTACTTCTTCATAATAATCTGTCCCTGATTTTGCTTCTCCTGAAATTGGATGCAAAATCATTGTCAGAAAATACATTTGTTTAACCAAAGAGAAAGAACTTCCATTTGACTTAAAAATATCACTGGATCTTCTTAGTTTAGTCATTGTTTACAAAACAAATACCATTTCATCTAATATGGCTATAGCTTATGGGTCCATCTAGAAACAAAAAGACAAAACCATATTTATGGCCAACATGAGATATTTTCTGGATACACGAGCAACAGTGAAAACTTTTTGAAAATTAACGGGCATCCACAGGTATAAATACACCGTCGAAAGCATTTAACGCTCTTTAACATAGCCAAGTCCCCTGAGCTTGAAGCAGCATTAAATTCTCCTTTGCCAGTGGCAAAAAGAAGCCGTCAAGCACAGCATTGAAAAATTGGTACCATTTCCTGGCCAGTAAGCAACAGAACGAAGGCCTGAATATTTTATGGGTTATTTATTTATTTATTTTTGTTCTCATGCTGTTTTTCTCCCCCATCTCTTTTTCTCTCCTGTTCTTGCCTGCCCAGGACTGATTGTGGTGACGCTGGCCGTGTGTTGGATGCCAAATCAGGTTCGGCGGATCATGGCTGCGGCAACACCCAAGCATGACTGGACCAAGTCGTACTTCAAGGCATACATGATCCTTCTCCCCTTCTCTGACACCTTCTTCTACCTCAGCTCTGTGGTCAACCCTCTCCTCTACAATGTGTCCTCTCAGCAGTTCCGGAAGGTGTTCTGGCAGGTCCTATGCTGCCGGCTGACTCTGCAGCACGTCAACCATGAGAAACGCCTGCGTGCCCAGTTCAGCTCCACCAAGGACAGCACCCGCTCTGTCCGAAGCCCCCTCATCTTCCTAGGCGCCAGGCGGAACTCTTCCTCTAGGAGAACTAATAAGGTTTTCCTAAGCACTTTTCAGGCTGAGGCCAGGCCGGGAGAGGCTAAGGCCCAGTCCTTGAGTCCCGAGTCACCACAGACTGACTCAGAGACCAAACCAGCTGATTCCATCACAGAAAATGGTTTACAGGAGCAGGAAGTGTGAATGCCATGTTCAGAAGCCTTGAGCAGAAACTGGCTCTTCCGTCCCGCAGAAGCAAAGTTACCTTCACGCAGCAGTCCCCAAATAGACTGTGACTCCATCAGGGACAGAATGGAAGCTGGAGGCTTTGGGAAGGGCAGATGCCTATCTCAATGATGTCTAAGGGCTGATTCTTCCAGGCTGGCCTTGGTGGTGGCTACACGGATCGGGATGGGAAGACCTGGGCTTTCTGCTCCATACTTTTGCTTCAACTACACACAGAAATTCAGAATGAATTTTCAGAACTTACAAAGTATTTGTGCATGGCAATCTTGCATTACTTGAAAAGACCCCTTTGTCTACCCAGAATAAAAGGACACCCAGAAGAGGCTCAAGGAGGTGAGAGAGAAAGGGCCAGACAGATGACGCAGCAGGGGTTGGCATCTCCTTAAGCTTCAGCAGTGCGCCAAGCAGAGGGCTAAGTTGAAGAGCAGGGCTGTGGTGAGAAGCCCTGGCCTGATGGCCGAGGCAGAGCTGCCTCTTTTCTTGGGCCTCGGCCCGTTGCAAAGAGGAGTGTTGCAGCAGCTGATACACACGGAGTTCAGTTTCCCAGGAGAACAGAAGGACTGGTACCCAGCCGAGGCGATGAGACAGGCTGCTGAGGATGCACACGACTTCCGGTACATGATCCCTGCAACACAGGGCCACGGAAGTGGGGTTAGCATGTGTGGCCTACAATCCAAACATCACTTTGAGCCCAAATCTGAACGCATAGCTTTTCCTAATTCCTCACAGAGAAAAGGTTCTTGTCCCCTGAGCTTGTTGCATCCTGGGAGTTCTTTTGGGTGATGGCATGGCATGGAGATCACACAGAACCTATAGTGAATGTGACAGACACTGTCTCACTTTTGACAAAATTGTTCTGACAGCTATTTTAGTTGCTATATCCATGAATAAAGAGTTATTAAAATCAAAGTCTCTCTCTCTCTCTCTCTCTCTCTCTCTGCTCCCTCCTTCAATGTATGTGTGTATGCAGTATCCTCAGACTCCAGAAAAGGGAATTGGAGTTATAGGTGGTTGGGAATTGCCTTATGGAGGTTTTGGAAGCTAAATTCTTCTGTAAGAGCAGTGCAAACTCATAACTGTCTCTCCTATCCCTACATCCAGCTCTTCTTATGTAGGTTCTAGGGATTAAACTCAGGTCCTCATGTTTGCATGGCAAGTGCTTTAGTGACTGAGCCATCTTCTTAATGACAAGGTCTATTTTTAAATCAGCTTCTACTTTATAGTAGACAACAAAGTTTTTCTTTCTGTTGTTATTGTTCAAACCATCTCATGCTAGGATCACATACCACATACCCAGATATTATCTCTGTGATTACTTAGTAAGTGGACTTAGAGAGATGGCTCCCAATCAAGAGTTTATTAAGTTCCCAAATTCTCTGAATACAGAGCAAATTCCAAAGGAAATAATCCTGTCTACCTGATGATCATGTTGTTTTTTTTTTTTTTTGTATGTTTCTTCCCCCCTGAGGATTCACTACAGTTAAGCAATTGTAATAATAATGATAACAGAGTTGTATCACTTTGATAGAAGCCCAAGCAGGCATGAAGCCCTGGGTTCCACCCCTGCACTGCAGATATTAGCATACATTGCTTGCAGTGGTGCACACTTGTAACCCTAGCACTTGGGAGTGATATGCATGGGGATCAGGAGTTTGAGTCATCTGCAGCTACCCTGTGAGTTTGATACCACCAGGGGCTACATAAGACCCTGTTTCCAAGCAGTAACAATTTTAACAGCTAAGTATGTATGCGCCTTCCTGGATACAAGACACTGTATAGACAGCTATCATGTGCCAGCTCGTTTAGTTCTGTTCCTGAAGTTTAGATATAGTGAGCCCTGGAAAGTCCTGTGCAGAAAAACCTTGGTCCCCAGCATGGTGCTGCTGGGAGGTGGGGTTCAGCAGGGAGGTCTTGGGTCACAGCATGCATGTTCTTAAAGGAGACGGTGGCACTCTAGTGTCTCTCTCTCTCTCTCTCTCTCTCTCTCTCTCTCTCTCTCTCTCTCTCTCCTGGCTATGGAATGAGGGGCCATACTTCTTCACATGCATCTGTCATAATATGCTGCAGCACCACAAGTCTCTGAGCATGGATTGAGCTTCCAATCTCCATGTCCACACCCCCATCTCGTGTGTGTGTGTGTGTGTGTGTGTGTGTGTGTGTGTGTGTGTGTGTGTGTGCACATATATGTAACCTCAGATGTTGTTTCTCAGGAACCACCCATCTTGATTTTTGGAGACAAGTTCTCTAACTTGTTTGGAGCTCTCCAATTAGGCTGGAGTGGCTGGCCAATGAGACCAAAGGATTAAAAGCGTGGACCACTACATACGGATTCGTTTAAAGTGGGTGTCCTGGGGATCAAATTCAGGCACTGGTGCTTGCATAATGTGCACTTTGCTGACTTAGAGATTTCTGTAGCCCCTCTCAAAAACTGAACCAATAAGAGCTTTTCTTCTTCCTACATTATTTCAAGCATTGTGCTACAGTGATGAAAAGCTGACTCCCATGGCTGAAAGTACTAGGAGGAAGGGCCCTATGACTTTTCCTACTGCACTGATCCAGAGCCTGCAGACTGCTTACTGAGACTTAGTAACTTGCCCAGGTCCCTCCCATCATCAGACTCTGCTGTCAACTGCAATAGAACATATTGCGGTGGCAAGTGAAGTTTGAATGAGAAATGCCCTCCATAGACTCATGTGTTTGAACACCTAGACTCTAGATAGTGGCCCCGTTTGGAAAGGTGGAGGTTGGAAGAAGTGGATCATTGGGGATTAGCCTTGAGGTTTGATAGTCTGGTTCCACTTCTTGTCTGCACGCTGATTCCTGACTGCAGGTGCAATGAGGCCAGCTGCATTATGCTCATGTTATCTCCATGCCTTCTCCCCCAAGACAGACTTGAGCCATAACCAGCCCAGTGTCCTAGCACAGCTGTGAAAGTGGCCCAACACATTTGTGGATGACAGTGTCACATCACAGTGTCATGGACACTCCTGCATGTAATAAACCTTTCCTTAACTTTTAGTCAGGTATCTACCACAGCAATGAGCATAATAGCTAATTCAATAACCAGCTGGGCATGGAGGTGGAAGAGTTCAAAAGAGTGTGTGTTGACTCAGCCAATGAGCTTTGGTGTGTGGGGGGATGGGTAAGATAAAATAATGACACAGGACTCAGAAGCAAAGGTCTCAAGTCTGCATGCTGCTTTTTGCAGCTGAGTGATTTATAACATTCACCATCAGCAGCCAGGCACCTCTACCCAGCAATTGCCTGTAGGTATCTGGACAAGTGTAGTTTCAGTTTGCACCCCTCCAGGAGACCTGCCACTTTGGGTGTGTAGTGTAGAAATAGTGACGATTCAAACTGCCTGAAACTCTCAAAGGGAGGGAAAAGAGTTCGTTCAGTTTTCTTTAAAACATGCAATTTCATGTTATTTTTTTTCTGTAACTACATGTTTGTAAGGATTGATTTTCTAGCGCTGGTCAGCCATCCTGGAAGGCGGCTGCTCTGGAAATACAAGGACAGTGTATGAATGCTCATATCGTATGCAGGAGGCATTGTTTCACTTCCCAGGAATTCTCTAAAAAGTTTCCATTTCTTTTGCCTGTTAGAAAATTAAGTTTTTTTCTAGTATTTTCAAACTCTTTTCTGGAATATGTTTTATTTTGATCAATATAATATCCTTTTTAGCTGAAAAAATAAAGAAAATTAAGTTTTACACAATATATTCCTAGCCTTGATTTTATTTTTATTTCATATTTTTCTTCCTTCATGTATTATGTCCTTACTGCAGTTTCCCCTCCCTCCTTTACCCTCAGCTCGCCCCTTCCACCTCCCTTCTCCCCAGATACACTCCTCCTTTTTCCCTCAGAAAAGAGCAGGCCTCCCAGGGATAGCAACCAAACATGGCATAACAAGTTACAATAAGACTAGCCACATACCTTCATATCAAAGCTGGATGAGGCAACTCAGAAGAAGGAGAAGGGTCCCAAAAGCAGGCAAAAGAGTCAGAGACAGCCCCGGCTCCCTCTGTTAGGCGTCCCACAAGAACACCAAGCTACTCAGTCATAATATATATGCAGATATATGAGCCCTGCTTAGTTAATGCTGTGAGCCATGTTCTTGTGCCAACCTTCATTTTAAAAGTACTGTCATTCACCAATCCAGCTACTTAAAGGGAAAAGAAGCTCACCATATTTGAATTGGCCAATGATCTCACTGTGTACCTCCTCCTCCCCACGCCACACAATGAAGTTATGTCTCTTGGGCTGACAATCCTCCCTGCAAGAACCATGGGGCATCTAACAAAACCTCAGCACCAGGCATCAGGAACCACCTTTTGAGTTGTTGGTCAAAGGACTCCAAGAGGCTTCCAAAACAGTATAGGCTATTACTGTTGCCCTTGATTGCCTTGATTGTCTCCCAGAGGTGAGTCCCTATTGTTGAAGACACCACTTACTTCAAACACAGGACTCAGAAAGAGTCTAGCCAGAGCTAGCCTGAAACTCTCCTCCCTAATGGCTAGCTTTCATAGTAAAAGAAGGTGCTACTCAAACTCCCTAAGGAGAAAAGCAACCAATTGTCCAATTCAGTCAACCACAACAACTAGTGTGGCAAGATATCCGTTAAGGTGCAATAGTGGCACTCAAATCTTGGCAGTAACCAACAGCTCTGTAGGTCTAGTGAAGTCATGGATCTTAGAGGTAACCTTGTGTGTCACTTTACTAGGACAGCATAACTCCTAACTGCATTCTCAGTACTTAGAATAAAGGACAAATGTTGCTCTCATCCCTCAGCAAAGGAGCTTCTCTTTGCAGCAGACAGAAACCATTCAGAAAACCACAAATGGGCAAAATACAGAGAAGAATTGGGCATGGGGTGCCCAGCTTAAACAGAGAGTGTTTTTCTAGGAAGAGGGGTTAGAAAGACTATAGGAGCTAGAGGACCAGAAAGTCTACTGTGAGATTATATCTCCAAGCAAAGACAGGGAAGAACCGCCTGTGATACTGCAACAGATGGCTGCCTGAACAAGATTTGAACAATGACAATAGCAATATGTAGGGTAATGTAGAAAAGGGAACTCTCATAGAACCCCATCTGCAAAGAACTACAGGCAACTAATGACAACTAAGAGAGGGAAAATTAGTCTTTAGGGATGAGTTCCCCTAACTGGTTATATAATACCAATGTGGAGTTAAAACCAGTGGCTGCATATATATATGTATGTGTGTGTGTGTGTGTGTGTGTGTGTGGTGTGTAGCAATAAAGCAGTATTAATAATAAAAAGGGGATATATGTTTGAGAGGTAACCCAGGGTTGGGTATGGGGGGTGGCTAGATGGAAAACAAAAGACATGGGAGGGGTTTGAGGGAAGAGTGGGAACTGGGAAATGATTTATTAAAATAGTATTTTAATAAAAATATTTTTAAAATTCTAAACATATGTGGTGTGTCTCAAAAATTAAGATGTAAATTTCCAAAAGAAGGAAACAACCAATAGTCCTACCCATCTGTGACACCCAAGAACCACACTAACAACCAGCATGGCAGGATAACGCTAAGGGCACAGTAGTGGCAAGCATAACTTGGTGTTAGCCAATGGCTCCCTTATTGGACTTAAGACTCACTCACTAAGAGAGAGACCATGTCTGGTACTGAAAGCCTAGCCAATTACTG